TGCTTGTCTAGCCTTATATCTATATGTAATCCTGCATGTGAACTGGCCTTATGGCCTTGAACTTGTGCTCGGAATGTGTGGTGACTTTGTGATCCACCCTGAGCTTGCTTTGCTTTGCTTGACTGGTCTTGTGACCCCTTGTTCTCCCCCACTTTGCCTGTGGGGGTGTGTCAGATTTATATGACATAGCTACTGTAGGCTATAGTGGGGTAGCACATATGGGGTACAGTTTTCTAGGGTTTGCTTTTGTACCCAACTTTCCCTTAGTCAATTCATTCCTCATTTCTTCACAGGAGAGTTGTGGGGCGAAGGTGCAATGAACGCGACGTGTTTCTTCCACGAGCCTGCGAGAAATTGACAAAATTCGAACCTTACAACTTGTATGCAACATTGGATAAACACTAGACGAGCAAGGATAAAAAACGGTAAACTCCAAAACAACGATACAAACGCTGCATAAAAATATATAATAGAGAATTACACATTCGTAAATGTACTTCGGTGAATAAAATAAATGCAGCATGCTCAAAAGAGGTGAATAACATCGTTTAATAGAAAATAATAGGGGTGGTTTAATTTGTCATTGTTTCAATATCAATTTTAAATTACTCGTCACTATGAGAAAAATGATACTAATACTGTATATTTGCTGGATATTCTTGCGACATGAAGTGAATTTAATTTTGCAGAGAAGATGGCATAAATATTTTTTTAATCAATTTCTGTGTTTTATCAAGCGTTCACTTTTGGACCGAATGTATCGAGAGATTCAATAACGAGCACGTTCTTGTGCGGCTTGGTTACACAGGTTACGACATGCATGGCAAGGGTCACGAACGACCCTAGCAGCAGTGAGCGAATAAGCAGACAGATTTTTTTTTCGAAATCAAAGAAATCGTGACTGTCATCTCATGTGTCAAAAAATCAGAGCAGCCAATCATGACTAGCCAGGCCAGGAATTGGCGAAAATTATGGCCCCGTTCTGTAGGCGTTAAATTTCCAAAAACTGGGTCCGCAGAATCTTCCCCGATAAGTGAGCTTCTGCCTATCAAGGTTTGGTGATAAGCTAAGTCTTGCCAAGCCTGTTTGCGCCATATTTAACGTTTCTGCCTGCAGAACGGCACCATCGTGGCGCACCAATTTAACGTGGTGAAGGTTCCTAGATCGTGCATCGCCTGGCAAATGTCCGCACAACTTGTGCGCCCCCAATTTGGCCTCGAGACCTAGCATCAGCAGGCGCACAAGTTATGCGGGGCAGCAACCACTCGCCCTGGAAACGCACAACTGGTAGCAAATATGCCCTCGACCAAACCACACCTGACCCCACACCAAAAAGGTAGGTGGCTGCTGTTGTAACCGTAAGAACACATGTTTCGTCCACGAGTTAACCTGGCTCCCGTCATTAGTTACTTTCTGTAGACCGTACCTACCTACTCCATCTTTCCTACCTACCTAAAACATCATTGCTACCTACCAAGGCCTACTTAGCTTACTGGTTCGACTGACAACCATTATTCTCCCCTCGTTTACCGTTCTCTAGAAGGCAACGTGCCTAGTTTAGCTCACCTCCACGTTGTGCAAGCTCATGAGCATGGAAAGATCACGCCTATTAGGACGCCTTAGAGGCCTAACCTCTGAAGCATCTGGAGTAACTCCGAGGGGAACTGTGACTATGAGCGCCCCCATGACTACCGTTCCAGTACAAGGTGCTCGAGGTTCCTCAAGCATCCTCACCCCACACGCCTGGTCCGAACCTGTTCAGATTGTGAATGCCACTCGTTCTTTCAATCCGCCAAGCGCGCACAACCTCGGCATCTCTGAATCTTCGCCACAGCCACAGAAAGTTATAGGTTCAGTCGCCATCACCGATTCTATGTCCGAAGACGCCACAGAAACTTGCAGCGGGAGCGCTTCCGGTCTCCCTAGTCGAGCTGGATGGACGAACCAACTTACAAGCGATCTCTTATCGATTATCATACTAACGCAGCAAGCCCATGACCGCATGCCTTACGAGGCCATCACTCACTGGGCTGAAGTGCAGGAAGAGTGGATCCGCATGCACCCGGATCGGCACTACTCAGTCGAACAGTTGGATAACCACGTGCGTGTGGTAAAGAGATGGTTGGCCGACATCAAGTGGCTCCAACGTCAGATACCGAGCGGAGTTCACTGGAACCCCAGGATTGAAGGCTTCAAGCCTCCCAATCAGGTGCGTGAAAACTGTGAGAACCCTCTATGGTGTCCGTAAAGTATTCACATGCTGTCAAATATGTACTTATATACCCTGCTTGCCTGCGCAGGTTGTGAACGATTTGGTAAAGCTGGAGCATTGGCAAAAGGCCCGACGCTGGGTGAACAACATCGCCCCTTGGCTGGATCTTGCGGAACAGCTTGACCCAAACAATGGCATAAGGGGTCAGTATGCCACCACGGGCGACGACGGGCCACGTGTGTTCTCCGATGACCCTGGTGGGGGAGACGAAGAAGACGGCAATGGAGAAGGAGGTGAGGGGGGCGTATCAGTGGGGGTTGGAACCGGATCACGCGACCGGGCTCCACCGGATCCTATGGACGCGTCGCCCCGTCGCACTCCACCTCACGCTCCTATGGGTGATGACAGCGCACGTCAACGGTGTAGCGTGGGCCCTGGTTCGATGTCTCAGCATGGTCGCAATGGTGTGAACGGCCCCAACCCCTCCGGCCCTTCTGCGCCCAGTTCAAGCGTTGGAACTAAGAGGCGTCGGCGTGCCGAAAGCGCTAATGTTGCGCGAAGTCTCGAGGCTATCGCAGTGGCAACAGCAAAGGACGTCAACATCAAACACAAAGGTACGAACGATCAATGTATATCGACGGTATCGCATGTCGCACGCTGGTGATGCAATCTGCTACCAATATGCATTTGAGTAGGCCTTCAACAAGCCGCTTTTGTGCCATGGCAGATGACATGCAACTTGTGGTTACGAAGGCAGGAGAACTTCTTGGCACCATGGATGCTCCGTCCGAGCACCACAAGCTCCGGCTGTATGAGAAGTTTGGCAACAAGCCTGCCTTCGCAGCCCTTTTTCTCACAATGCCACAACGAACGCGCGAGGCATACCTGAGGGGAGAAGACGTGCACAGTTCGGCAGATGACATGTCGACTGGAGTCTGAAACTCTTCAAATGGTGCCAGGTACGCTGGTCACTCACGCATGATGCCTCTCTGCTGCCACATTGCACTGCTTCGTTGGTGCAAAACAAAACACTACAGCTCTCCCTTGTGTTCTCTTCTTGAAACCACCTTTTTATAACCTTAATCATTCATCTTACTGGCCCACCACTGTCCCTTCCACACACCCCAATCCTCCCGTAATGTCCCTGCCCACCCTTCATGCTTCCATCCAGAAAGGACGCATGTACAGTCTGCCTTTATTGTTTGTCCGCTCCTTCCACGTTCTCTGGACCGTCTCCCTGCCGAATCTCATCGCATTCAGTGTACAATATCCTTCGTGGGGTAATAGGGGCATCAAGTAGGGGGTCTACGTGCATTGGAGTTGCTCATCAGGGTTTGATACTGTTTTATAATCTTGTTGTGCTTCGGGGGAATGCAGTTATGTGTGTTTGGGTTCAATGTACATAAAACAGGGTAGTAGTGTGTGCTCTTTGTGTTTACTCTCCAGACCGTCAGGTCCCACTTTCCTTCGTTGTGTTTCCCTCCCTTGTTTATTACTGATATTAATTCTTAACTGGGTGTTGAATTCGGCCTGCTGGTTGATAGTACACACCAAGTTAGACCAATGCATATTGGGTGTTGAATCCGGCCTGCTGGTTGATAGTACACACCAAGTTAGACCAATACATATTAAGCACTATTCATGTTGCGTGAGGTTTGGTGAATACACTTTAATCCATGTGGCAGTTGGTAGAAGCAGTTTCAGTAAGAAACAAGTTTGTGACGGCTGCTACAGCGGCGGTTCATATGAGTCATATTATGTTGCCTGCAGAGGCAGTGGCAGGAGGAGCTTGGGCAGCAGTAGAGGCGGTGGCAGGAGGAGGATCAGCAGGGGGAGTGGCAGCAGCATGTGTGGGTGGGCAGGCAGCGAGTGAGGATCGGAGTGCTTCGGCATGGCTTGAGTCTGAGAGCACACACAGGGACACCTCGTGTGTGGTCAATCGCTCCTGCACACACACAGGCTGCAGCGGATGGAAGGGGTGTATGCGGTGGGGGTGGGACTCCGAAAAAAAACTGCCAGACAGACAAAGAGAGTACACAGGGTGCGTGGCCAAGGGCTCCTGCACAGCAGCACAGGGAGGCAGCGGCACAGTGGAGGGAGACAAGCGGTTGAGAAACGTTAAAAAAATAATAATAATAATAAGAAAAAAAGCCAGAAAGCGCATATGTGGATATTTTGGGCATGGTAAAGAGCTCCTGCACCCACACAGGCAGTGGTGCAGTGTAGGTGAGATGGGGGGCGAGGGGTGTAGCAGGGAAGGAGAGAGGCGCAGTAACGTGAGAGAGCGGCGCAGTGGGGTTGGGTATGCACGAGTGGGAGGTCTGGAACAGCATAGATAATTGATGCTGTGCCATCCCCATCCCATGACCCCGAATCCCATCCCCCATCCCATGCCCCATCCCATGCCCCATTTCATGCCCTCCCCCATGCCCCCCGCAGACTCGCCTGGTAGAAGGAATGCATGGGGGAGAGGAGGCGCAGCGAGGAGAATCCCGCAGGGGAGAAGTAGGAGCGGGCGGAGGGGCCGACGTAGGAGAGGAAAGGGGGCAGGAGGGGAAAGGGGGCAAAGGGGGCAGGAGGGGAAGGGGGGCAGAAAAGGGGGAAAAGGGGGCAAAGGGGGCAAGGAGGGGTAATGCAGGGGCGACGAGGAGCAAAAAGGGGGAAGGAAGGAAGAGAATGTTTTGGGCACGAGAACGTGACGAATCATGCAGAAGGGGTTATGCATAGCTGGCTGGGTAGGGCGGGAGAGGTGTGGAAGCACCTGGAAAGGGGGGGTTGGGAAGAGGATTCATGGCAAGTATGGGGGAGAGGAGAGGGTTTGAAGAGAAGAGCAGGCATTAGTTTTTGAGAGTGTGCTAGTCGAAAGGGTGGAAAAGGCATGCCAATGGGAGGTGGATGGAGCGGCGAGTATTTCGTGTACAATTGACGCGAGAGAATGGAAGGGAGGGGAGAGAAAGGAAGATAGGGAAAGAGAGAGGAAGGGAGGGAAAGAGAGGAAGGGAAGCGAGAGGAAGGCAAGCGAGAGGAAGGCAAGCGAGAGGAAGGCAAGCGAGAGGAAGGCAAGCGAAAGGAAGGCAAGCGAGAGGAAGGCAAGCGAGAGGAAGGGAAGCGAGAGGAAGGCAAGCGAGAGGAAGGGAAGAGAGAGGAAGGGAAGCGAGAGGAAGGCAAGCGAGAGGAAGGGAAGAGAGAGGAAGGGAAGCGAGAGGAAGGCAAGCGAGAGGAAGGGAAGAGAGAGGAAGGGAAGCGAGAGGAAGGCAAGCGAGAGGAAGGGAAGAGAGAGGAAGGGAAGCGAGAGGACGTGAAGCGAGAGGAGGAAGGGAGGCGAAAAGAGAGAGGAGGGAAAGGGAAGGGAAGGATACATGAGAGGGAGTGGCAGTAAGATAAGAAGAGAAGAAGAGGCAGAGGAGGGAAGCAAGGGAGGGGAGAGAAGAGAAGTGCACCTATGAACAATCCTGGTCCCAACAGAAGCACAACTCCCACCAGCACTGGCAGCACCGGCAGCACCGGCAGCACCGACTGCACCGACAACATCTGGGAGGGGATGAAGGCATGTACTTGAAGCAACACACGCCTTTTCAGAACTCAGTACAGGCAGCAAGCCCTTCCATTACCGCACTGCGTACCTGGCGCTGCCCTCCCACGCGCACCCGCACAAGCCCCTTGGCTTGCTCCATTGCCTCCACTCGCCTCTCCCAACGCACGCACCCCCACACCCAACGCCTCCCCATGCCGCCGCTGCTGCCGCTCACCCTCTCCCTGCTGGTGCTGCTGTCGCTGCCACCGCTGCTGCAGGTGCAGGAGCAGGAAGAGGAGTAGGAGTGGGGGCAGGAGGAGGAGCAGCTATAGCAGCAACTTGTACAGCAGCAGCAGCAGCAGCAGCAGCAGCAGCAGCAGCAGCAGCAGCAGCAGTCACGGGCATTGCAGCTTTTTCACCAGGGTGTCTGGCAGTGCACACTCTCTCCCCTTCCACGATCCTGGTTCCCTAACTGCTCCAGCTGCTGAAACTCCTTCCTCCCTCCACTACATCGCCCGCGACAACCACAAGGCCCTTGCTATGTTGTCACGCCGAATGTTTCCAATTAGACCCGAGTCTCGCCCATTCCTCGGCCTTGTGACTCCCTCACGTACAGCGTTGCTCTCATGATCGTCTTCCACGTCCAGCTCATACGGGAAGTCTCCCTCCCCCCCCAACTTTATAAAGTTATGGAGAACAAAGCAGGCAATGACGATGTTACACTGCGTGGCGAAGGAGTAGGGGCGCATTAGCTTTAATATGGGAAATCTGGACTTCACCTGTCCGAATGCGCACTCCACATGCGAGCGCATTCCGGCATGCGTTCGGTTGGATAGCTCCTCTTTTTTTTCGGGATCGCGACCTGTTTGTTGCCAGCGCTTCACGTGGTACATCACCTGCCGATATGGGGCAAGACAGAGGGCGTCGTTGCGGTACCCCGAATCCGCCAACAGATACATGCCTTGCGGAATACGGAGTCCCTTCACCACTGCGTCCTGGAAAACTGTTGAATCGTGCGCTGAACCCTCCCACCCGGCCAGGACGAACAGGAAGATATCCGTAAATGAAACGACGGCAAGAACATTTTGGGAAACGTTGCTGTGGCGATCGAAGAATGGTTGTTGCCTGTTCGCGCGAATGCACGCTGGAATTAGCGTTCCATCGACAGCGCCCAACACGCCTCTAAAATGAGAGAATTCTGGTCGAGATTGAATGAACGTGATATCTTCTGTCGTCGGCATGCGAATGAATTCGGGCTTAAGACGAACGAGAGCTCTGGACACATTGTTTATGACAGCACTTATAAGGCTTCCGCTGTGTTGCCAGCGCTCCTGCAACGCACGATTCGACGCGGTCTGCCCTACAAAGTGTGTGAAGATAAGCATTTGTTCGACGACGTCAACTGCCCTCCCAGAGGCCAGAAAGCCTCTGCTGCTAATTAGTTCACACAGTTTGACAAAGAGGGAGGGTTCCATGCGGGCGGTAGAGCGCATGCGCTTCGGATGACCAGTGAGAAGCTCATGGGCATAGGCGCGGCCTGTTTCCCCCAGGTCGCACTTCCCCTTCCCTTTAGGTCTCTCCTCCCCTTTCCCCCAGGTCGCACTTCCCCTTCCCTTTAGGTCTCTCCTCCCCTTTCCCCCAGGTCGCACTTCCCCTTCCCTTTAGGTCTCTCCTCCCCTTTCCCCCAGGTCGCACTTCCCCTTCGCTTTAGGTCTCTGCTCCCCTTTCCCCCAGGTCGCACTTCCCCTTCGCTTTAGGTCTCTGCTCCCCTTTCCCCCAGGTCGCACTTCCCCTTCTCTTTAGGTCTCTGCTCCCCTTTCCCCCAGGTCGTACTTCACTCTTGTGTCTGCATGTCAACCAACTGAGCACTTGTAGAGAATTAGACCCTAGGCCTATAAGATGGAAGTGTCAAACACTATATGTGTTATTGTTGTGTAGGCTATAGTGGGTTAGCCTTTAGGGGGTACACAAAGCTAGGTTTTGCTACTTGTACTCCATCCTTTCATAGTTCAACCACTTCTGATTCTGACATGGCATTAGAGCTTAGGTTCTAGACCTAGGACTCACCTAAGGGCCCACCGTTAGAAGCGCCCTCGAGCGCCTTATCGTCCTAGCGCCCTCGAGCGCCGTTCTCCTAGTGCGCCCTCGTGCGCCTCGTCTTCTCCTGCTGCCTGTGGGCGGCTCGCTAGTGCCGCGCGCGGCCCTTTTCTTTTTTTTCCGCGCGTCGCCCCCTAGCAGCCCGCGCGCGGCCGTTTCTGAGCGCGCGCCGCCCGTTAGCCGCCAACGCCGCCACGAGCAGCCCGCTAGCGACCGGCAGCCCCGCCGCGACGCCCTCCTTAGGCCGCCGCGACGCCCTCCTTAGGCCGCCGCGACGCCCTCTCTAGGCCGCCCGCGCGCTAGTACGGCCCACGAGCGGCCACGGCCCGCCCACTACAGCCGCCCACGCGCCCAGGCGTGCACCGCCGCGTAGCCCAGACCGAGCCGAGCCGCGCCGCCCGAACCGAGCCGCCCCGCCCTAGCCGAGCCGCGCCGCCCGAACCGAGCCGCGCCGCCCTAGCCGAGCCGCGCCGCCCTAGCCGAGCCGCGCCGCCCTACTGTGCCCCACCTACAGCAGCTCCTGTTCCTGTTCCTACTGTACTACTGCTACTACTGCTACTGTTCCTACTGCCACTATGGCCACCCCATCCATTCTCACCTTTGACGCTGAGGGTCGCCCGATTAAGTTTGAGGTGTGGTTAGATGACCTTCACCTGTTCCTCCAGATCACTGCCAAGGACGATGTCTCCCTGTATGACCATACGTCAGGCGCTGCTCCCGCGCCTCCAGCTACTGCTGAATGTACTGCTCGCTCCCAGTGGCAGACCCGTGATGCACACGCTCGCCTAGCCGTTCGTAGTCACCTACCGTTAGATGAGCGCGAGCACTTCGGACAGCATAAGACCGCCAAGGAGCTGTACGACGCAGTAGTCGCGCGCTACTCCTCCCCTGCCACAGCTGCTATAGGCCGTCTCTCCCTGCCCTACCTCTTCCCCGACCTGTCCGCCTTTGCCACTGTAGCTGACCTCATCACCCACCTCCGTACCAGTGACCTCCGCTACCGTGCCGCACTCCCCCCCGACTTCCTCGCCAAGAACCCCCCCCCAATGTACCTCACACTGTACCACCTTGTCACCCGCCTCCCTGACTCCCTTCGCACAGTCAGGGACCAGTTCCTCGCCCTCTCTCCCACTGACCTCACTGTCGACCTCCTCGAGAAGGAGCTCCTAGCAGCTGAGAAGAGCATTGTAGCTGTAGGAGCCTCTCGTGGTGACCCCCGCACCCCCTTCTTTGAGGGGTGCTCCCCCTCCCCCCTCCTCCTCTCCATTGCATCTACTGCTGCTGTCGACTACCTCGGAGCTGAGGGGGTCGGGGCCGCGTCTGCTCCTAGTGGGAGACGCAAGGGCGGCAGGGGCAAAGGGGGCAGGGGTGGTGGAGGTGGAGGTGGGGGCAGCGGCGGTGGAGGAGGTGGGGGGGGCGGGGGTGGTGGCGGTAGTGTGAGTGGCGCGGGTGGTGGGGGGGTCAGTGGCGGCACAGGGGGTAGTGGCGGCGGCGGCGGTGGTGGGGGTGGTGGAGGTGGTGGTGGCAGTGGTGGCGGCGGTGGAGCGGGTGGCGGGCGCGGTGGAGCGGTGCAACGTGGGGGGTTTGGCGGTGGCTAGAGGCAGCAGCAGCAGCGCCCCGGCGAGACTCCCTCGCCCCAGCAGCTCCGTGAGTGGTACTCTCAGCGTGGGGGATCTGGGGGAGGGGGTACCTGCCCGTATATCATCCGCACAGGTGACCGCACTGGCCAGACTTGTGGGAGGTTTCACACGGCGCAGCGCTGTTTCTTTCGCCTCGACGACGCCTGGCGCGAGCAGTTCCCTGACGCCTCTGAGCTGCCCCGCTGGGCTGATCTGCTTAAGAAGGGAATTGATATCTTTGCTCTTGATTATGATGCTATCCTTGTTGCTATGTATGCATTGACTAATAGTGTTGAGGGTGACTGTTACCTGAGTGTACCTCCCGACCCAGGTATTGCGACCGGTGAGGCTGCAGCTCTAGGTGCTAGTGCGTCTGCTGCTCCAGGTCCTGGTGAGGCTACTGCCCTAGGTGCTAGTGCGTCTGCGTCTGCTGGTACCGCACCTACTGAGGCACTGCACACCTTCACACTGGACTCAGGTGCTTCCCGCTGTTTCTTTCGCGACCGCACTGCCCTAGAGCAGCTCCCTAGACCGGTTGTTGTCTCCCTGGCTGACCCCTCAGGGGGTCCGGTCCTTGCGACCTCCACCACTGCCCTCCCTTGTCCTGCTGTCCCGTCTGGCACGCTGTCGGGCCTCTACCTCCCCTCGTTCTCTACGAACTTGGTGGCGGGTTCCGCGCTCCAGGACGCGGGTGTTCACCAGTTCACCCCGGCCTACGAGCGTGTGACGCACTGCACGTGTGCCCGGACGGGTCGTCACCTGGCTACCTTCACTCGGCAGCCGGGGTCGGACGTGTACACACTGACCACTGAGTCCCCTCAGGTAGCTGCGTCTGCGTCTGCGTCAGGTCAGCTGTCGGCCCCCTGCTCGTGTCGCTCCCTGTCGCACAGGACTGTCCTCTGGCACCACCGCCTTGGTCACCCGTCAGTGCAGCGCCTTCGCAGCATGCACTCCAGGTACCTTGTCTCTGGTCTTCCCAGAGTTCTCCCTCCCCTACCACCCTCGCCTGCTCCTCCTTGTCTTCCCTGTGTCGAGGGGCGGCAGCGCGCCGCTCCTCACTCCTCCTCGTTCCCTCCCACAGAGGCTCCCCTGCAGACTCTCCACCTGGACGTGTGGGGCCCCGCCCGCGTCCGGGGACAGGGCCACGAGCGGTACTTTCTGCTGGTCGTCGACGACTACACGCGCTACACCACGGTCTTCCCCTTGCGTACCAAGGGTGAGGTCCCTGATGTCTTGATCCCCTGGATCCGCGCTGCTCGTCTCCAGCTCCGCCAGCGGTTCCAGTGGGACTTTCCTGTCCTACGTCTGCACTCTGACAGAGGTGGCGAGTTTTCCTCTGACCTCCTGGCAGCCTACTGTGCGGAGCACGGCATCCGCCAGACGTTCACTCTCCCGGCCTCTCCGCAGCAGAATGGGGTTGCTGAGCGCCGCATTGGTCTTTTCATGGAGGTCGCTCGTACCTCCATGATCCATGCGGTTGCCCCCCATTTCCTGTGGCCGTTTGCAGTGCAGTACGCCGCGCATCAGCTCAACCTCTGGCCCCGTGTCTCTGTTCCGGAGACCTCGCCTACCCTGCGTTGGACGGGGGAGGTTGGCGACGCGTCGGTGTTCCGAGTCTGGGGATGTCGAGCCTTTGTCCGCGATACGTCCGCGGACAAACTCTCCTCCCGTGCGGTTCCCTGTGTCTTCCTTGGCTTTGTCCCTGACGCGCCTGGCTGGCGGTTTTACCACCCCACCTCGCGCCGTGTCTTCACCTCTCAGGACGTCACCTTCGACGAGTCGGTACCCTTTTACCGTCTCTTCCCCTACCGCACTGCCCCGCTCCCCCCCCCGCCGCTCTTCCTCACCCCAGGTGTCCCGTCGGTAGACCCCCTCCCTCCCCAGGGTGCTGCTCCCTCAGGTGTTTCCCAGGTAGACCCGGTCGAGCCTGTCGAGGTAGCTGTTGACTCTGGTCCTGCGCGAGGTACTGAGTGCGCTGAGCCTGGTGGTACTGGGTCTGGGGGCACTGAGACTGGGGGTGCTGAGCCTGGGGG